AGGAAGTTAACTACTGCAGCAGCTTTTCCAACCTTTTTTCATTACTTCTGAAGGTCATGTGTAAACTGAAATGCAAAAATATATGAGGCTATTGTTGCCAGAATGGAGGTATTTCTGCAATGCCAGAGCATAGAGAGATATTTTCAGCCCACGTAACATATTTGGACTGAAAATAGCGATAGCAGAATAATATTTATAAAGAAAAAAAAAAAGTTTGTGCCTTCAACTTGCTGCCCATAGGAAGACGTTACTTGTATATAACCTATCCGAATATCTTCAGAAAGGCTCCGCATGACACAAAACTCATTTAAGTGAGTAGAACATGATGTAATAACGTAACATCAAGGGGCCAATGTAAAAAACAAAAAAGCCGTTCCCCTTTAAATGACTTTAACACACAAACTTAAATGCTAATATATATATATATATATATATATATATATATATATATATGCATATATATTGATATATAGATAGATATATTTGAAGAGCTTGACATTAAACTAAAAATCTTCAATTTTGAACCATTTTTGTGCATTTCATGGTTGTTATTACTATAAGTTAGGATTTACTTTTAAATACTTAGGGCAAAACTTGTCAGTTATATTTAAACAAGAAAAGAGTTCTAAGATGGCAGCAGAGAAAAGTTGTATTTCACACATTCAAAGAAAATCTGAAGCTTGTGAAAACTAATAGATTTTTTAGAATAATACAGAATTAATGCGTTATCTAGCTGTAGCTATAGCATTATTATTCATTGTTAAAGAGATGAATAAAGACGCTAACATATCAGAAAAGTACCACAGTTTAGTGACCTTACAACATTTGGCAAACTCTGGGTCACATACTTAGAACTGTGTGCTGCAAATTTTACTAAATTTGGAAGTCAACTGAGTCACCTGAAGTGCCTTCTTGCTGTGAGATTCATTAACACATTTGCTTAAGTTCTGCAGCATGTTGAGAGAGGGGACATCTATTATTAGCCTCTGTTAAATAATGAGAGTGGACATTTACTTGTGCTCAGTCAGACTAGATAGAGATGTTTTAAGTTTTTTTGACTTGGTCTGAAAATTGACTATATCATTCTAAACTATAATTACAAATTATCTAAACAATTTCACTGTAGGTTTGTTGGTTTTATGGCCATTCAATTGCTGAAAAGTGAACAGATTCTAGGTCCCCCATTCAGGAGCTACAATGTACACCAACGTACCTCCTGTGTATTTGGCATATGGCCATATACTATATATTGTATATAGCATATTGTATGTTTTATATTTTATACAGCTACAGATTCTGTATATATATAAAATTTGTCTGCACCACCAACACCAAGTCAAACTCCTTGTAAGTGCAAACCTTCTTGGCAATAAACTTGATTCTGAGATTTTCTTCTTGGATTACCTTTTGTCTAACTTTTCCTCTTTCCACTTCATAGCTATGAACAGCTATGTGTTAAACAGAAAACATTTTATAAGAAATAAAGAGAAATAGAGTTGGTAATGTGACATAATATAAAAAAGGAAAGCAGTGTGAAGAGTTTTACAAAGCACTGTTGACGTCATTCTATAAAATCTGTGCCAAAGGTGTAAATCTATAGTATATAATTGAAATTCAAGTTAAGGTTTAAAAAAAGAAAAAAATAGCTCCTTGCACTAGGTCTTAAACTATGGAAAATTATTTTATAATATACGTATAAAGCAATGTGAAACAATGTGAGTAGAAGCAACCAGAGGTGAAGGTTGAAGGGAGGAAATAGCTACAAGGAAGAAGTAACATAAAGATATTTTGTGCTGAGACAAAAATCCCTGCCTTAAGATCTTTAACTTCAGGTTAAAATGAGTCTTCAGTGAAGTTTGAATTGAGCTTCAAGCTATCTGGTTTAAAATACTGCGCCTGGTTATTTTTTGTTCAGCTCAGCCTTTGGCTGAACTCAGATCTATGCACAAACTCTTGGTCGCTGTTTTTTCTCGCCTGTCATTCTTGTTTCCCCTCCAGTCCTGATATGTTTATAAAATCTAGGACGCATATTTTTTTTCTTTTTAGATGATACTTCCCATACCTACAGTAAATTGCATTATAGTGCACGATCCTGGACAAGCTCTATTTTAATCAATTTGTGCATCCAACAAAAGGGAAAGCAGAGTCTCTTTTTTATGATTTAAAAAAGCTAATAATAAAAAAATGTGTGCTAATTGTTGAAAGCGACCGTGTATAAGTTGTGAGTAAAATGAATACACATGACCTGACGTGACAGTTTTTAATATCTTGTTTTCAGGCTGGAATCAAAACGTCAAAGTCTTAAGTTTTAAACCCTCCAAAAAACTCAAGGTCACCAGTTTGTAAATATATAATTTTTTCTTTTATGCATTCTCCCAGTGAGTTCTCTTTGATTATTTTAAGAAAATTAAGTCCATATACTTTTTAAATTTGTTCATTCATAAGAATCTTATTGATGGCTTTACAAACCACTTGGTTTGGGACTAAATGCAGGGAAATTAACAAATACTGTAGTAAATATATGTGTGATCAAGTGTGGATAGTGTATGATTGTCCCGACCTAAAATAAAAAAAACAAAACATGGGTCAAATAAATAATTAAAATCCTTAAATTTCCATGGTATATATCCTTATAATGACTGGATGTAAACTAACCAGAGATAAATATCTAGTTTAGTTGATCATGTGAAGAAACAAGAGATTTATATTCCAACTAACAACAGCAAACACACATAGCGGCTGTGTTTTCTGAAGGACAAACATTTCATCTCTGTTGGTCTTCCTACGTTGCCACCCTCAGCATAACTGTCAGCCTCACCAAACATGTGTGCCTGGATTCAGTGTATGCTTGCACTCTTTGTCATCTATATATTCTAGTTTGAAAGCCCCCTTGCTTGTGTCCTCTGCATGTACTTTCTAGTATAGAGAGATGTTAGCTTCAACCTTGTATCTGCATTTTATAACATTGAATGTAGATTGCGGTTTCTTGGCATTGTGATAAATGGTCGATATGTGTTCAGCGAGGCATTTGGTTCGAGGTGCAACTTACATGACAGCTCATGTATATCCATGTGTCTGAGATATCCTTTTTTTTATACCATTATTTCTTGATTTTTATTTTTATCCAGCCTTTTTATCTTAAACTGGACAAAAAAAAGGCAGATAATTTTGTGTGCATTAACATCAGATGTTGCAGATAGCCATCTTTGAGAATGTCAAAGGCTTGAAATTAAAACAGCAAATCTTCAGTAAATATCAAGCAGAGATTGTAAAATTGAAATAAAAAATTGAGTTCTTTTTATGATTTCAGTTTTTTTCTATTTTTGTCATGTTACAACCATACATCTCATGGTATTTTTTTAAGGATTTTGGATGGAAAGCCTATCCAAAATAGTTATAAATTGCAAAGTTTGCAAAGGAGTGTGGCATGCATTTAGCAGAATCAGTACTTCACAAGAAACTTTCTTTCCCTGCAATTGCAGTAAAGCTGCAGGTGCCTGTTTCTGTATTTCTGACTGTTGCATGCTCTTTCTAAAATAGCTAAAGGTAAGGATGGAATTCACCCATGAAAATATATTGAGAAGTCTTTCCCTAGATTATGTACATTTCAATAGTGACTGGGCCATTTGAATACAATATGCTGTGATTGAAACCAACCCATTTAAGCTCTGGTTTTATTTTTAGGTTCCTGATTCAAAGTGAATCCCTGCTCTAGTCTAACGTTATTCTGTGGCCTAAAACAGCTTTTCCATCCATGGCTTCATGCTTCTCTGGAAGAAAAGTATCCATACACCATTAAACAAATTGTAAGGTTAGGGTGCACAACTGGGATTGGGCGAGGTTGGGGGAGGTGTTGGCCTAGTGGTTAGAGCAGTGCGCTTGTGCTCTGAGAAGGTTGCAAGTACCCTGTTCAATGCCCACAGCTTGCCCTCTGGGTCCCTGAGCAAGACCCTTGACCCCACACTGCTCCCCGGGCACCGCACAGTGGCAGCCCACTGCTACCCAAGGGGATCAGTTAAATGCAGAGGTAAATTTCCCCAGTGTGAGATAAATAAACTTCAATTAAAAATGTAAATTAAGTTTTCTTCTCATTTCACTTGTACGTCTTTGTCCAAATGTTTGCTGTGCCCCCACATGGCAAACTTCCATTCTGACAAACTTGATGAAGAGCATAATTAGTATTATTTTTTCTAAATATAATCTGTAACCGGCTGTGGATCTTTGCAGTTCCTCCATAGTTACCTTTAATTTGCTTCTCTGATTAAGGCTGTCCTTGCTAGACTGTTAGTGTAGGTGGATGGCTGTATCTCTGTAGGTTTGCAGATGTGCAATGGTCTTAACATTTTTAGAACTACAGTATGTGGGCTGTCAAAAGCTTTTAGGATACTGTTTTAATAACCAATTCCTTATTAAACATGTACAGTATACATTTGATCACAAATCTATCTTTCTGGTTTTGAAAAGCTGAATTTATACTAAGAATTAATACACTGGCACAGTAATACGAAGGTGTCTGATAAACTAATACAATTGATTAATGATCTCACTTTGAAATGCTGAAGAATTGAACACTATAATTTTCATTTGTGGACAGTTACCCAAAACGTTGTATATCAATTAATTTTATTATTTTACTTATTTGTTTCACTTAAAGGTCGCTTTCTGGACCTTTAAGTGATAGCAATTTCTGTTTGAACAGATATTCAACAGCCATAATTAATATGAACAATGAATAAAAAAGCGATGAAAACCAATATTTGAAACCACCAAGAAAACAAGTTAAAACACATGAATAGCACTGGTCAAATAACCACTTTACTGATATATTATTCTATATAAATCCTTATTTTAGAGGATTGTGTCATCACTATTGTTCACTATCACTATTGGAATCCTTGCGTAATCTCAATCCAACCGCCTAGAGGTGCTCCTGTCTAAAACACTTCTGGTGACTTTGGGTATCTGGCAGAAAGCTTGGCAGTTTAGCTTCAACATCTTACCTCCCCTTCTCTGTGCCACGGCCTCCCGTTCTGTGGATACTTGCTCTGGCTTTGACGTTTCTTCTGCCCTCCATCTGCAAATTTGCACAGCAAAGGCTCCGTAGGGGCTGCGGAGAAATAAAAATGAAGGTCAGAGTCATGTTAAAAGATTGGCATCTAGTGACCCTGCAGAAAGACAGATGCCCTTTTGAACCCACGTATCCTTTTCTAAACTTCTGCCACAGTAGATTTTTTTTTTTCCTCTGGCACATTCCAGCCTTCTTCCCTGTTGTCCTATAAAGCTACTAGAACAAAAATTCCCAGGTTGACGATATTGGCAGGCCCTCCCTGTCCTCACTCCGGCTGGCAGTCCATGAAAGAGCCTTGCAGGGTATTGTTGAAAAAATAATCACAGTAATCATGCTTGTAAATACCTCTTAGATGGTAGTGCAAGATGGCTGTGACTGCCAAAAGCTTTTTTTAGAAGCCGTTTTTGTCCGTGATGCATAATCCCAGCGTTCTTTACCATAACACAATCTCCCCTTTTCTTTGACATTTTATGTCTTTTTCCTCTTAGAAACAATCCCAGCACCTCCCTGTAGTGTACTCTGACTAAAGTCATTTAAATATAATAATTAATCTGTTCTTTTGACAACAATAGAGGCAGTGTTTGCAATCTAAAGATTATAAGGTAAGAATTCTAAAATTCAGCAGCAGCAGGAAATCTTCACAACGCTTGAATTAATTTAGTAAAAGTTAAAAAGAAATGTTATACCTGTCTCTCTAAATACACCTTTTGTGTACATAATTACCAGTGAAAGGTTGATGAAAATGTTGACCTATGCTACTATGAAGTATATTCTCAAAGGGCACTTTCTCACGCTTGTGCAGCAGGTGAGTTGTGACAAAGCCAAAATGAGATTCAGGTAGATGAGATAGCATAAACCATCTGAAGAAAGACTACTATGGGAAGGGGGCTGAGGGAGCATGAGAAACTAGCAGCTTCCTTGGCTGTAGACCAGCAGCTTTTTATCAGGGTCTGGCTGCTCTTTTTTTAGTTTTTATCAACGAGATCAGAATCTCTTATGGTGTAAAGGGGGAGATAAAGGATAGAAGACGATTATACAAGGTCAAGAGAAATATATTGCGTAAAGATCAGGTAGATAGTAGAGCAAAAACTAACAAAAAAAGAAAAAAAAAATTATCTGAAGTTAAGGCTATAGAAATGCATGATTCTACAATTCCAGATTTTATATTCTTCTTAAACATTATTCTTCATAAACATAAATTTCACATGGTTTTATTTACAATACTCAGACTGAAACCCATACATTTAGAAAAGTCACTATTTGTCTTAGATTATCCCAAAAACAGTGAGTGTCTCTATGAAGATGAAATTTCAATTTTTAATAACAAATAAATTAGGATTTATTATTAAATAAATATTATTAAAATTACCCAAAGCTTTTTAGTTTCAATCAACCAGACAACACTGAATTAGATATTTTTCTATATTAGAGATTAGATAAATGGAAAGAAAGGCTTGGAGGGTGGTGCGCCTCTGGGTGTTTGTATCCCTGGGCTCTCTTGCAGGTCCATCTTGAGCGTGCACTGCCAGCGGAGCCTGTGGGTTCACTGCTGTGGGCTCGCTGCTGGGGCCCCGTGACGCATCAGCACCATAGCCTCTGGGCTCTCGTCTGCCCTTCTCACCCTTCTCAGTTGGGTGTCCTCCTAAGTCTGCCACATATGTTTTTTTCTGTGGTCTAAAGTTCCTTTAGATATCTGGGACTGTGGTTACCTCTAGGTTGACACTTGGCTCTCCAGGGTGAGTCTGGGGCCACTCACATCTTGTACTGAATATATTCTCCTTCTGAAGAAGCCTTGTAAACACATTCTAGGGATGCATATATCCCACCAATGTTGATTGACCATTGATTGACGAATAATTCATACTACTACCAAATACTAAGCTGCAGCTACAGATATATATATCTCTGAAAAATGATTAAGATATATTTAGGTCTCACTGGTAAACTACACGTACAGTGCATGTACAGATTAAAAAGGAGTTAATGCAAATACTAAAAATACAACAATTACTATGTTTAAAGTTATTTTGTAACAAGAAGAAAAAGAATAATGATTAAAAACTACTGTTACTTCTACTATCCATCACATCTACATAGGAAAAAAGAAAAGGTAAAATCAACTGAATCTCAATTTAATTACATTTAGTCTATTAACGCCAGCCAAAGTACACAGGGTGTCTGCTTCACATACAGCTTTAGTCTATAAGGCACATGTTGGAGTTTGGCTTGTTTTTTAGTGTAGTCCTGTTTCTCTCACTATGACAAACTGTATGTGCTCTCTTTCATCCTCTGATATACGAACTGGCTTGGATCTCATCTCCCTGGTTTTGTGTTTCGTGGACGGAGCCGCCTGTGGAGATGGTTGACAGTTACCATTCGTATTTCTGCTTCTATCTCCGTGAACCATAGTCAGCCTTGGCAGATGACTACTCACAATGAGTCTGGTTCTGCTGGAGATTTCTTCCAAACTGACTGTATGATCTGGTTGAATTTTTTGTGTTAAGTACCTTGATATAACATGTGTTGGGAATTGATAGAAATGAGAAAGAAATGAATTGATAGCAAGGGGAACAATACCACAAAGGGCACCATTCCTGTCAGCTCTAAACAGGACAAAGAGTAAAAAAAAACGGCCATATAGCTTACTAAAACATTTCTGCTTTAACATAGGAATGGTAGGGTCTTCAGTTGACAATTAAAAATCACTGGGTCATGTAATTCTTTGCTTTTTCGGCACATCTTGGCCCCCGCAGTACCATCCTGACATTGTTTTAGCGGCACAGCCTAAAGTCCTCAAGAATCACTGCTGGCTTTGTTATTCCTTCATGAACTCTCTTCTGAAGGCTGCCTCCAGCAGGGTATGCATTATATAACAAATCTTAAAATTGCAATATGATATGAGCCAAAATCACTGAGGATTATTTTTCTGAAAATGTGTTGAATCTATACAATTTCGATTTACATTACTTCTGAAGGCGAAAAAAGATTAAAACTGTAGTACAGTATACCTGATGATGAGGCTTATGAGCTTATGTAGAATTGTGCATCATAAAGGACACTTAATTCAATAGACACTGATGTTTAACAATATGTCACATTAAACAAAAAATAGTCTTTTTGATGCTCCAAAATACAAATCAACTATAGAGATAGTGTGACTGCGGATCTAGTGCACTGACAGTGAACACGCCCCTTCAGACTGCAACCCATTGCCAGCACCTGGTGGCCTATTGCAGCTACTGGAAAACCCTCCTGTCATCACATTCACATTACAGGCCTGGCAGCTCATAATGCGGCTGCTCTGTGACGACACAGGGTAAGGCGGGGCTGCCTGCAGGAGGTAATTCCACTGCACCTTTCATCAAGCAAAAGCTGGTGAGAAAAGAAGTTGTTAACACTTAAATCTTTCTTGCAGTTGTAAAGGTGGCTTTGCCTCGATAACAACAGAGCATTATCATATGACCGCAGAGAAGGAAGTTGTGCTCAGCAATGCTGTTAATGGCAACAAACTGAAGTGAGGCAGCAGTTAACTATTGCAGTTCAATGCAAGATTTGAGCATCAGCTGTCTTAGGGGTCAAAACTGCACCTGCTGTGTCTTATTGTGTCTTTTTATTTTACTTTGAGATTAAAGTTTTAAGAGTCATTTTGGGAGAACATCACAATAATCTGAGTGTGGAGGGGCAAAAGAAAAACAACAACAAAAAAAGTGACAAAACCCCTCCAAACCTCTCCTATGTCCCCCTGGAAGATAATTAGCTATTGGGGATATTTAGAGAATCTGACACACAGCAGGCTGACCTTCCCTGTGTGACAACATCGTCCACAACAAACAGGTCAATTTGTTCAAGACTGAAGCGTAAGATTAGCAGTTTCACACAACTACCACACCCACTGCATGAAAGACACAACTCTTTTGCCCCGACACATATACATACACTCCTTCTGTGCCCATAATGTCTCTCCCCTCTAAACACACACATTAACAGAAACGCATAAAAAACTACCGCAGCACAGAAAACAGAAGGCCATCAATAGCAGAACTCAGACTGAACTAGGTCACAATGTTGCTGATATTGTTCCTTTGGCACAAAACCATCGAAAAAATGGAATGAAAATAAAATATTGGGTGGGGGTGCTTAAAAAAACAATTATGGACCAATTTTGTCCCAATTTAATGATCTTAAATCATTGACAAAATATGTGAAATACTTTTGGTTTGAGGTCAACAACTGCTTACAGGGTCCTCCATGGGAACTCCTAATTATTTTTCATGAGGGTTGCCTTAGAAACCTGTAAATAAATGATTGAAGAGTGTGCACAAAATCAGCATCTGGGTGTTGGTGAATGTACTGCAAAACTAACCATTATTAATGTTCACACCAAATGAAAAGGATAAGGTGATATTGTCATGCAAACGTATTTTCACCCCCCTGACTATTTTTTCGTTCGTCACTCTTTTTGTTTCCACCCAATCTATCATCTTTTCACAGTTTATGGGGATGATGGAGATGAAATTAAAAATATGTGCGTATCATGTAACTAAAACAAACGGAAACAAAAGTATTGTGAGGGCAACATTATTTTTTTGGGCAATACAATAACATATTTATGAGAATAGAGTAGAATAGAACAGAATACAACTTAATGGTCATTACAATGCCACAAGTACAAAGCAGCAAAATTAAATCTCTGCATTTAACCCATCCCCTTTGGGAGCAGTGGGCTGCTATTGCGCAGCACACGGCGAGTAAGGGGATAAGGGTCTTGCTCAGGGACCCAGATTGGCAGTTCATGGAAACTGGGCTTGAACTCAGAACCTCTGGGATCCAAGCGCAATGCCCTAACCACTAGGCTGCCACTCCCATAAATGATGATGAAGTATCACCTCCTTGTGAGCTGTTTTTGTTTTCATCATTAAATGTGACCAAACAAATGTGCCTTTAGTTGTACATGATTACAATGAAAAAGGAATTGAAGAAAGGGGGGGGTCTAATACTTTTTTTCTATGACGGTACAGTATAATGATTCTTGGAAGTAA